AGAAGATCAAACCAGGACTGAGGCTGTAGATCCAGGACTGAGGCTGTAGATCCAGGACTGAGGCTGTAGATCCATGGACTGAGGCTGTAGATCCATGGACTGAGGCTGTAGATCCAGGACTGAGGCTGTAGATCCAGGACTGAGGCTGTAGATCCATGGACTGAGGCTGTAGATCCTCCGGGGACTGAGGCTGTAGATCCTCCGGGGACTGAGGCTGTAGATCCTCCGGGGACTGAGGCTGTAGATCCTCCGGGGACTGAGGCTGTAGATCCTCCGGGGACTGAGGCTGTAGATCTTCCGGGGACTGAGGCTGTAGATCCTCCGGGGACTGAGGCTGTAGATCCTCCGGGGACTGAGGCTGTAGATCCTCCGGGGACTGAGGCTGTAGATCCTCCGGTGACTGAGGCTGTAGATCCTCCGGGGACTGAGGCTGTAGATCCTCCGGGGACTGAGGCTGTAGATCCTCTGGGGACTGAGGCTGTAGATCCTCCGGGGACTGAGGCTGTAGACCCAGGACTGAGGCTGTAGATCCTCCGGGGACTGAGGCTCATTCCCCGGATCTACAGCCTCAGTCCAAGCCTAATCAGTGTTTGGAATATGGAGGAGGCTAATTAGAGCTAGCCTGAACAAGGTTTTTTGAGCAGTAATGTGAGGAAAATGTATGCAAATGTTCTACCTCATTTCCATACACATGTTGTTGCTGCTTCTAACTTCTTGGACAAGTTCCCCAGTTCCAATAAGAAACCAAACTAAAGCCAAACTTTGTGAAAGAAGGCATCGGTTTTGGTCAATATCAAAAGATTTATTTAGCCCAAAATGGTGTGACTTACTTTTCAATGTGAGTCTATAGGAGCCAGAGCGAGTTGCAGCAAAACTTCATCCATGAGCACTTCACTATTGGGCTTCCTCTGCTAGCGGGTTGGCATTATCCATCTATACACAGGTTATGTACTGTCTTATTGGACTGCGTACTTGGGGAAAAGCGTTGCTTGCTGTATTAATGTTGGTTTCATTACAGTTAAAATCACATTCCTGCCAACTTCTTGAATCCCACCGTATCAAGTTAAATTTAGATTAAAATCCAAATTATTAGCTGTTCTTTTTAGTCATCATTTACTTTATTTTCTAGTTTAGCATGAACTGAAAGAATTCTCTAAAACGCATGAACACAAACATACCATAAAACAAAAATACACAAAAGTATGACCGCAAACAGAACAAATATGCCTCAAAAATTGACAATAAAATGAAAAAAATGGATAAAACGTCATTATTGTCACTCTTTTAATGCCTTTTGTGATGTTTTTTCCTGTTTTATTAAGCACTTTGTATGAACGGTGCTGTATAAATGCCTTTTTCCCTGGTTCTTCAGGAGAGTTGGTGTTTGCTGGTTTCAAATTGCATCAATCCATAAGTAGCCTACGGAACTAGCTAAAATACTAATAATGTTAAACGACAATGTATCTGACTTTGAATTAGGTGTTTGTTAACTCTGCGCTATTTTGAAGAACCAGGCAACTGCCAGAGGAAATGTTGAAGTGAATTTGAATATGTGTGAAATCTATCCCGGCTTCAGCTGCTGCCGTCAACTCTCTGTAGCTCCATCAGTGGCTCCGGGAGGATGGGTCAAATGCAGTGGGTCAGTTTCTCTGTAGCTCCATCAGTGCCTCCGGGAGGATGGGTCAAATGCAGTGGGTCAGTTTCTCTGTAGCTCCATCAGTGGCTCCGGGAGGATGGGTCAAATGCAGTGGGTCAGTTTCTCTGTAGCTCCATCAGTGGCTCCGGGAGGATGGGTCAAATGCAGTGGGTCAGTTTCTCTGTAGCTCCATCAGTGGCTCCGGGAGGATGGGTCAAATGCAGTGGGTCAGTTTCTCTGTAGCTCCATCAGTGGCTCCGGGAGGATGGGTCAAATGCAGTGGGTCAGTTTCTCTGTAGCTCCATCAGTGCCTCCGGGAGGATGGGTCAAATGCAGTGGGCCAGTTTCTCTGTAGCTCCGTCAGTGGCTCCGGGAGGATGGGTCAAATGCAGTGGGTCAGTTTCTCTGTAGCTCCATCAGTGGCTCCGGGAGGATGGGTCAAATGCAGTGGGTCAGTTTCTCTGTAGCTCCATCAGTGGCTCCGGGAGGATGGGTCAAATGCAGTGGGTCAGTTTCTCTGTAGCTCCATCAGTGGCTCCGGGAGGATGGGTCAAATGCAGTGGGTCAGTTTCTCTGTAGCTCCATCAGTGGCTCCGGGAGGATGGGTCAAATGCAGTGGGTCAGTTTTTCTGTAGCTCCATCAGTGGCTCCGGGAGGATGGGTCAGTTTCTCTGTAGCTCCATCAGTGGCTCCGGGAGGATGGGTCAAATGCAGTGGGTCAGTTTCTCTGTAGCTCCATCAGTGGCTCCGGGAGGATGGGTCAAATGCAGTGGGTCAGTTTCTCTGTGAGCACCCGATCTTTCAGCTGCTGCCGCTGTGATAATGGCCTGGTGTTGTTGTTGTTGTTGTTAAGAGAGCCTTTATTCCATCATCACAGGTTACAGATCAGCAGAATGAGGAGCACACAACACGTGAACAAGAACTACACTAATTAAAATACAACAACATCTTATAGATATTTAATCTAGTAAACAGTAGTCATAATGTAGTAGTAGTAGTAAACAGTAGTCGTAATGTAGTAGTAGTAGTAGCAGCGGTAGTCATAATGTAGTAGTAGTAGTCATAATGTAGTAGTCATAATGTAGTAGCAGTAGTCATAATGTAGTAGCAGTAGTCATAATGTAGTAGTAGTAGTCATAATGTAGTAGCAGTAGTCATAATGTAGTAGTAGTAGTAGTCATAATGTAGTAGTAGTAGTCATAATGTAGTAGTAGTAGTCATAATGTAGTAGCAGTAGTCATAATGTAGTAGCAGTAGTCATAATGTAGTAGTAGTAGTCATAATGTAGTAGCAGTAGTCATAATGTAGTAGTAGTAGTAGTCATAATGTAGTAGCAGTAGTCATAATGTAGTAGCAGTAGTCGTAGTAGTAGCAGTAGTCATAATGTAGTAGTAGTAGTCATAATGTAGTAGTAGTAGTCATAATGTAGTAGTAGTAGTCATAATGTAGTAGTAGTAGTCATAATGTAGTAGCAGTAGTCATAATGTAGTAGCAGTAGTCATAATGTAGTAGTAGTAGTCATAATGTAGTAGTAGTAGTCATAATGTAGTAGTAGTAGTCATAATGTAGTAGTAGTAGTCATAATGTAGTAGCAGTAGTCATAATGTAATAGCAATCGTAGTAGTAGTCATAATGTAGTAGCAGTCGTAGTAGTAGTCATAATGTAGTAGTAGTAGCACTAGTCATAATGTAGTAGTAGTAGTCATAATGTAGTAGCAGTAGTCACAATGTAGTAGCAGTAGTCATAATGTAGTAGCAGTAGTCATAATGTAGTAGCAGTAGTACTAGTATTCATAATGTAGTAGTAGCAGCAGCAGTAGTTGTAGTAGCAGTAGTAGTAGTAGCAGTAGTCATAATGTAATAGCAGTAGTAGTAGTAGTCATAATGTAGCAGTAGTAGTAGTAGCAGTAGTCATAATGTAGCAGTAGTTGTAGTAGCAGTAGTCATAATGTAGCAGTAGTTGTAGTAGTAGTAGTAGCAGTAGTCATAATGTAGCAGTAGTTGTAGTAGCAGTAGTCATAATGTAGCAGTAGTTGTAGTAGTAGTAGTAGCAGTAGTCATAATGTAGCAGTAGTTGTAGTAGTCATAATGTAGCAGTAGTAGCAGTAGTCATAATGTAGCAGTAGTAGTAGTAGCAGTAGTCATAATGTAATAGCAGTAGTAGTAGTAGTAGTAGTAGTAGTCATAATGTAGTAGTAGTAGTCATAATGTAGTAGTAGTAGCAGTAGTCATAATGTAGCAGTAGTAGTAGTAGCAGTAGTCATAATGTAATAGCAGTAGTAGTCATAATTTAGTAGTTGTAGTAGTAGTAGTAGTCATAATGTAGTAGTAGTAGTAGCAGTAGTCATAATGTAGCAGTAGTAGTCATAATGTAGTAGTAGTAGTAGCAGTAGTCATAATGTAGCAGTAGTAGTCATAATGTAGTAGTAGTAGTAGCAGTAGTCATAATGTAGCAGTAGTAGTCATAATGTAGTAGTTATAATGTAGTAGTCATAATGTAATAGCAGTAGTCATAATGTAGTAGTAGCAGTCATAATGTAGTAGTCATAATGTAGTAGCAGTAGTCATAATGTAATAGCAGTAGTCATAATGTAGTAGTAGCAGTCATAATGTAGTAGTCATAATGTAGTAGTCATAATGTAGTAGCAGTAGTCATAATGTAGTAGTAGTAGTCATAATGTAGTAGTAGCAGTATCCATCCATCCATCCATTTTCTACCCTTTAATCCATTTCTGGGTCAGGGGGGTGGCAATCAGAGATGCCACCCAAGTCTCATAGCACCAGCCCCTCAGTAGTAGCAGTAGTCATAATGTAATAGCAGTAGTAGTCATAATGTAGTAGTAGTAGTAGCAGCACTAGTCATAATGTAGTAGCAGTAGTAGCAGCACTAGTCATAATGTAGTAGCAGTAGTAGCAGTAGTCATAATGTAGTAGCAGTAGTCATAATGTAGTAGTAGCAGTAGTCATAATGTAGTAGCAGTAGTCATAATGTAGTAGCAGTAGTCATAATGTAGTAGTCATAATGTAGCAGTAGTCATAATGTAGTAGTAGTAGCAGTTGATACTGCTCCAACTTTAAACTGTCCTGCTTTCTTAACAAAAGAATCTGTTTTTCCCCAAAAGAAAGAGACTAATAATATAAAGAACAAATCAGACCAAAACATTCTGTCTTTTCTCTTATAGTAATAAAGTAAACTAGTGACAGAAGTGTTTTAAGAGCAAAGAACTTGTGTTTGGTGATTCTAAAAGTGTGTTACTTATACTATATCATTCAAAAACAGGTCTAATTTGGCTATCTTTCTTACATCTCACCTCTAAATCTTATCTCTCTCTTGCCCTATCGTTGCAGACACCCTCTCGCCCTCATGGACTCTGTGGACATCTGCGCGGCCACTTCGACGGCAGATAACGACAAACGCCGCGTGCGCAAGAAGGAGGACAGAGATTGGCTGAAGCGCCTCCAGCTCAGGAAGGCCTCGCTCCAGCCCCCCGCCATGCGCAGCGCTGATAAGCAGGGACCAAAGAAGATAGCAGGCAGCACAACGTGGCCTTCTTCACACAAACTACAAAGCCAGGAAGCGCCGCAGAGGACAATACCCGGCGCCCACACGCTCAGGTTTAGGTGCTCGCAATGCACGGACAATACCGAACGCGCCCCCAAAGACTTGCTCAAGCATTTTGACGAAAAGCACAAAGGTTGCCCGCCTGTGTTTTCGTGTCAATCGTGTAAATTTACCACACATGAATTCTCCTATCTCCAAGTCCACGTCTTGAGCCACAAAGACACGTTTTCCTGCTGCAGCCTTTGCAACGACGATATCCCGCGATCGTGGGCGGAGTTTAGTGCGCACTTGTCTCTAGTTCACGCTCGCAACGGGAAATACCTGTGCGAAGTCTGCGAGAAGTTCTCCACGCCGAACGATAAGGAGTTTTTGGAGCATGTCCTGCTTCATAGTCTCGGCCTGGACATGAAAACGGACCAGAAATTGAGCACTACGGCATGTGTTTGTCAGTTCTGCGGCTACGAAGCGTCGCAAAAGGTTATTCTTACAAACCATATGAAGGCCGCGCATCGTAATCTGAACGTTTTTCCGATGAACGAGGCAAAAACCAAGCCGAGAATAACTAGAAGCGCGGTTAAAGACCTGCATTGGTTGACACAGGACTGCTTATCGCTTCCAGGTAGAGACTTTTTGAACACGTTTTGTCACTTATCGGACGCGCAAACAACGCTAGAAGACACGCAGCAGTTTTTAATGAGTGCGGGAAAGCAACACTGGAGCAAAGCGCTGAAAAATGTGCTGTCGAACGTCCCACAAGACGTGAAACTTCAGTCTAAAATGGAGTTTCCTGCTCTTCCAGATAGCAGCCAAGACGTTCTGATGGTGAAGAACAAAATCAATCAAAATGGCGGTAGCTTCGCAATCAGGTTAAAACGCACGACCGAGAAGCAAGTGGAGAATACGAGCGCGGACTCTTGCGGGGTCGTGAGCGACACTTGCTTGAATGATTGTTTACAAATGCAAGAAGGCAAGCTAAGACGGGACACATTAATGGCCGTAGAATCTACGCACGGAGCGCAGGCAGAAGAAAACCGAGAGAATCAAAAACGGCAAAATGGTGCTACTCCAAAGGAACTGAAAGCAGAGCAGAGGAAGGCAATCCGCAAAGCTGCACCCAAAAAGAAACGTAAAAACATGCGGTGGAAGAACGCCAAGAGAAGTACCAAGAAAGACAAGCTCAAAGTGGCGCTAGCTCTGAAGATAGTTCTCAAGAAAAATCCCAAAAAAGGAAAACGCTGGGTGACGCAAGCTTCTAAATGTAGCTCAATAATAGAAAATATGAAAAATAATAAAATCACGAAACAGGAAGTGCAGTTTGGAGGTTGTGGTACTACAAACATGGCGGAAAAGCGGACAGAGGAACTCCAAGATGGCGGACGTTCACTGGGAGAGTTGGAGAGTGTTTTGGCAGATGGGACAAAGGCAGTGGATCTGGGAGGATGGAATGATGTGTGGATGGAGGCGTGTCCTCTGGCCTCCTCTGTCATTACGCCTCAGAGTAAGAGCTAATTATAGTCTTCTCCTGCAGTAATAGAAGTAGTGAATGTAGTTGTAGTGATTATGTGACCCCGCCCACTTATAAGGCCTTTGAACTTCAGCCGAATAGTGTTTCTTCCAGCTCCTGCCTTTCCTTTAGATTCTCAATTTGAGGGATTTTGGACTTGGACTTTCCTTGTAAATGTTCAGACCACGTTGAGACTTAAACTCAGGGGTCTCAAACCTATAGCCCAGGAGCCACCGGTAGCTCACCACCCCCTCCCGAGTAGCTCTCCCACAGATTTAGAAAGTTTTTGTAAATTATCTATTGTAAATTCAAACTAACTGTATGGACTCGTGACAAATATTTAAGGGATAATGTATAAAACGCAGGTCAAAATAAGGGAAAACCAGACCCCCAAGTTTTACATAACAGGAAATACATGACAAAGTAATCTAATCTGAAATCTACAAAGTTATTTATTGAATCAAGCACAACAAACATGGACAAAGACAAAACAATTAGGCACAAAACTTAATATTTGTAATACTCTCCACTAGGGCTGGGCGATATGGACAAAAATAAATATCTCTATTTTTTTCCCCAACTCCCGATAACGATATTGTCACAATATCTTCAAAATCAATCGTTTTTACACAAAATGATCTGCAATGTTTTGCTGCCAGCGCATCTATAGATAAAGTGTAGATCTAAATATAAGCTTTTTATTTGTAAAGTGCTTCACACATCTTTGGAAAACATGCACTAACATATGTTCACATTAAAAATCAAATTGAAGTACCACAGAAAGAACACATCCAAAAAGGCTCAATATTTACTGAAATGTGCAAATAAAGCAGTGATTGGCTTTTTAGGCACACATTAGACGAACGGGCATCTTTCCTTCTCTAATTGTAATATGTATTGAAAAATAAAAAAGACGATAATACGATCAATTTGAAGATTATTGTCTACGATGTATTTTGCCCACTCCTACTCTCCACCTTCTACTGCTGATATTTGTTTCAAGTCTCTTCTTCTTTTCCACAGCTGAGACTCCACCTCCCTCCAGTCCTCCTCCTCCTCCAGCCGCAGACTTCATCAGACCCGCAGAGTCTCCGGTCGCCCCTGTCCCGTTCCACTGCTGGTCCCCGGTCCCCAAAAGCCTGGAGCGAACCCTGAACCTAGTGGCCATCAACGCCAAGCAGCCGGTGAAGCGCCCGGCGGGGGAGCAGCCGGTGGTGGTCCTCAATCACCCGGACGCCGACATCCCAGCGGTGACGGAGATCATGCGAGTCGTGAGCAAACACAAAGGAGAGGTGCGAAAAGTCCTACTGTCTAAACGGACCCTGAACGCACTCTCGGACCGGGACGTGGTAACGGCGGACAGCAACGCGGCGTCAAAAGGCAGCGTCCGCGAGAGGTTTCTGTTGAAGCTAAAGCTGCGGAGGTTGAGCAAGAGGAAGTTCGAAGTGGTCGAGGCAGACGCGGCTCCGGAGAAACAGGAAAATGGCGAGTTCAGCTGCTGGTTCTGCGGACGAGCGTTTGGGGATAAAGAGGCCTGGGTCGTGCACAGACAGCGCCACCTAATGGAGTGGGGGAAACTGTGATTTAAAACAAGAGACAAAGGGAAAATGCAAAGTGTGGTTGTGGTTGAATGAAGTCTGGACGTGTACCGGTCACAGTGTGTGATGTGTTTTTACTAGGTTTGACAGGAGAGAGGCACGTTTAGAGAAGCTGTAGAATCAAATGACAATATAACAACATTTATAAATGCATGAACCGTGTATTTTTTTAACCTTTATCTGCCTTGTCTTGACTAGCTTAAGACACAGTTTGCCAACGAAAAAAAAGAAAAATTAAATTAAATTGCGTTTATTTTTGTGCAGCACTAAATAACAGTAGACCCAGGGACCGAGGCCGTAGACCCGGGGACCGAGGCCGTAGACCCGGGGACCGAGGCCGTAGACCCGGGGACTGAGGCCGTAGACCCGGGGGCCGAGGCCGTAGACCCAGGGGCCGAGGCCGTAGACCCAGGGGCCGAGGCCGTAGACCCAGGGGCCGAGGCCGTAGACCCAGGGGCAGAGGCCGTAGACCCAGGGGCCGAGGCTCATTTAGTGAAGCAGACTGAAGCCATTCTTTAAAAAAACAACTGTTATGAGAAACATTGAGTTATACAGTAGTAACTCAAAGTATTTTCTAATTCTTTCTTTTAGAGTTGTTGTTTAAATCGACCGCTTTGGAACAAAAATAATTAGTTAAGTGTCACTGAAAACTAGTAACAAGATTTTTTTTATGGGGAAATTTGTTTTTTCTTATCTTGTGCTGGTTCTGTTTGTAACTGTTAATTACAAATGATAAAGAAAAGTGTAATATTTCCACCAACCCTACTCTACCCATCTCCACTCTACTTCTTTAGTCCCTCTTGGTCCTGGTTCTACCCAGGCCGAGCTGGTACTAAAGTGTTGTAACTGACCGCGATTGGCCGGAGTACTGCTGGATGCCATGGTTACCACAGCATTTCTTTGGATGCTGGTTGGTTGTGCGTTGGTTGCTTGGATACGGCACCTTATACTGAAATGTAAAGTAATGGAAACGCAACCAGGTAGAGTGGGGCCAAGTCGGGCCAAGTCGGGCTGGTGGAAACGGGGCTGTAGCTCTGTTTGTATCATACTGGAGTGGGAGTGTTGAGCATTCCTTCTCCATTTTTCCATTTTACAAAAAGCCCAGATTGATTTTGTCCTCATTATATTTAATTTAACGTCACTGCTTCTACCGTGTGTCTGCTTTTCTAATCTGGGACTGCCAGTTGAGAACGCATCAACACCACTGACCTGTGTTGTAAATAGAGGTGGGCGATATGACACTTTCTCCTCTCTCCGCACAATTCCGAGCAGTTTTCACCAGTCCAAAGTCCAAGTTTTGGAAAATGTATCGAAGAGTTCTTGAAATGCCTTAAACCTCTGTGATTGTGGGAACAGATTGGAATAAAACTGGAGCCTGCAGAGCTTAATCCACTCTTATAACAGATAAAAACGATAATTCTCGTCATAATCTATTCATATTTTAAGTTAAATCTACATCTTGTGTCTCCAGATTACAGGTCACATATACACTTCATACAGCGCCGTAGTTATTCTTATTTAAAAACATAATGCAGGATGTCTATAGTATTTGTTTGCTATAGTCAAGTAGATTAACCAATCAGAGGGCTTGTTTGGGTTGCCAGTTTGTTAGATGAAATTCAGCAAGTTTCCACCACATCGCACCACATTTTTCTCCAAACCTGGCGTGTCCAAACTGAGGTCCGCGAGCCAATTGCGGCCCTCTGTGTAGTTCATGTGGTCCTCTGCTTTGCTAACCCATAGTCGCCATTTGAGATCAGAAGTTCAGTGTCATCCAGCCAGCTTCAGCTCCACCAATATAGACGGTGTATATACAGTGCCTTGCGAAAGTATTCGGCCCCCTTGAACCTTTCAACATTTCGCCACATTTCAGGCTTCAAACATAAAGATATAAAAAATTTATTTTTTGTCATGAATCAACAACAAGTGGGACAGAATCGTGAAGTGGAACAAAATTTATTGGATAATTTAAACTTTTTTAACAAATAAACTGAAAAGTGGGGCGTGCAATATTATTTGGCCCCTTTACTTTCAGTGCAGCAAACTCACTCCAGAAGTTCAGTGAGGATCTTTGAATGATCCAATGTTGTCCTAAATGACTGATGATGATAAATAGAATGCACTTGTGTGTAATCAAGTCTCCGTATAAATGCACCTGCTCTTTGATAGTCTCAGGGTTCTGTTTAAAACACAGAGAGAACCATGAAGACAAAGGAACACACCAGGCAGGTCCGAGATACTGTTGTGGAGAAGTTTAAAGCCGGATTTGGATACAAAAAGATTTCCCAAGCTTTAAACATCTCAAGGAGCACTGTTCAAGCAATTATATTGAAATGGAAGGAGTATCAGACCACTGCAAATCTACCAAGACCCGGCCGTCCCTCCAAACTTTCATCTCAAACAAGGAGAAGACTGATCAGAGATGCAGCCAAGAGGCCCATGATCACTCTGGATGAACTGCAGATAACTACAGCTGAGGTGGGAGAGTCTGTCCATAGGACAACAATCAGTCGTGCACTGCACAAATCTGGCCTTGATGGAAGAGTGGCAAGAAGAGTGGCCATTTCTCAAAGATATCCATAAAAAGTATCGTTTAAAGTTTGCCACAAGCCACCTGGGAGACTCACCAAACATGTGGAAGAAGGTGCTCTGGTCAGATGAAACCAAAATCAAACTTTTTGGCCACAATGCAAAACGATATGTTTGGTGTAAAAGCAACACAGCTCATCACCCTGAACACACCATCCCCACTGTCAAACATGGTGGTGGCAGCATCATGCTTTGGGCCTGCTTTTCTTCAGCAGGGACAGGGAAGATGGCTAAAATTGATGGGAAGATGGATGGAGCCAAATACAGGATCATTCTGGAAGAAAACCTGTTGGAGTCTGCAAAAGACCTGAGACTGGGACGGAGATTTATCTTCCAACAGAACAATGATCCAAAACATAAAGCCAAATCTACAATGGAATGGTTCACAAATAGACGTATCCAGGTGTTAGAATGGCCAAGTCAAAGTCCAGACCTGAATCCAATCGAGAATCTGTGGAAAGAGCTGAAGACTGCTGTTCACAAACACTCTCCATCCAACCTCACTGAGCCTGTTTTGCAAGGAAGAATGGGCAAGAATTCCAGTCTCTCCATGTGCAAAACTGATAGAGACATACCCCAAGCGACTTGCAGCTGTAATTGCAGCAAAAGGTGGCGCTACAAAGTATTAGCACAAGGGGCCGAATAATATTGCACGCCCCACTTTTCAGTTTTTTATTTGTTAAAAAAGGTTAAATTATCCAATAAATTTCGTTCCACTTCACGATTGTGTCCCACTTGTTGTTGATTCTTGACAAAAAAAATTGTATTTATATCTTTATGTTTGAAGCCTGAAATGTGGCGAAATGTTGAAAGGTTAAAGGGGGCCGAATACTTTCGCAAGGCACTGTATATATGTGTGTGGTACCTTGCTGTAAAGGTAAGAACCTCGAGAATTCAGATGTGTTTGTATGCACTGAGGTCGTATTAATGGCGCTAATGTAGCTGGTGAGATGCTCATTTGTCATTCAGCTAGCTCCAGCTCCATCATAGCTTGTTATTGGCTGTAGAGTTAAAAGACAAAGAATATTATTTTGACCTGTGTCTGAAATAGTTTTTGAGTTGTCAAAAATGTCTGATATAAATCGATCAGACTGAATAAATCCTAAAGCTCAGAACAGCAAGAATCCAGTTAAAGCAGTTTAAAAAAAATAAATGCAATTCTGATAAATTCTCCAGAAAAACGAGTTTCCACCACTTGAATACGTTTTTTTTTTTTTTTTTTTTAACTCCCCTTTAATATGGGTTTAAAACCGGTGAAACATTATCTCAGAAGCTAGAAAAAAGTTTTGCAATCTTGGTTGCCTTAATCTGGACGAGTCTGTGGAGCTAAAGTGGCCCAACTCTAACACCTCTGGCCTTGTTCAAATAAGAACCGGTTTGTCTACATTGTGACAAACGATAACTAAACAAAACCGTGCGGCTTGTTGGCACCTGAACACGCCTGGGAAACTAGACTCGGATCTCTTTCTACAGGCATGACTGAGGCCTGGGGGCCAATTGCGGTCCTCTGTGTCATTTTATGTGGTCCTCTGCTTCGGGTTAGCAAGGCAGTCTGAGATCAGAAACTTCACTGTGTCATCCATCCAACTTCAGCCAATATAGACCTTGTCCTGTACGTCTGGAGTTCAGGAGTTGACTTGTGAGCTGGTGAGATAGTAAACATTTGTCATCCAGCCAACTTCAGCTCTGTTGATTATTTTAAAGCTCAGGACAGCCCGATGCCAGTCAAGACAGTTTTTCAGACAGTGATGTCGGCCCCTGGACTAGTCTGGTGAACTAATGTGGCCCTCTTTCTAAAATGTTTGGACACCCCTGGTCTAATGTAAATAATATCTCGAGATTAAGAAAAAATAACTTTACTGAGTGAATGTCAGGGTCTCATCAGGATCAAAAGGGAAAATGGTAGCAACATGTGAGAACAGATGGAAAGAGATCAGAGCCAATAAAAACACTAAAAAAACAATTTATTATTATTACTATTATTCAACATATTGCATTTTCCTTTTTACAAAATATCTTTCCATTTCTCCACCTTATCGCCCACCTCTCCACTCAAACTCTTGTCACACACTGGGATTAAAGCTGGACTGCGGCGTTTGCAATACTCTGCCAAAAGTCTTAAACTACATCTTTACCTGGAACGTCTCAGGATACTTTTTTTTTTGTTCCCGGAAACACGGAAAAGTCTGATCTTTTTGTATCTATTTTTAATATAATTCTCTGTAAAGCCTGCACGCAGCTGCTGTATTTAAGTGTTTGTGTATTTCTGCATATAGAGCTTTATTTAACTGCCGAAAAGATGTTTTAAAGTCACTGTTTTTGTACAGAATGTGGCCATACGATGGGAGTACGGGTAGTGGACGCTTTGGGCTATAATCGAAGCATATTTAAGTCTCGCGCTGGAGACCGAGAAGAGACGGACTTAACCAAAACTGTGGAAGAATCGGACTATGAGCTGTCGATGTTTTTTAAAGTCATAATTTATACAGACTGCTTTTCCTGCTTTTTCTGTTTTTCTATAATTTATGAGAGGCGGTATTTCAAGACGAGACAAAACGCATTTTCGTGGTCAAAGGAGAAATCCGAGGCAAAAAAAATGTGATTATTAATATAAATTGACTATATTTATGGACAAAACGGGTCAATTTGGATCCATTTTGATGTAATATTGTGAGTGAACTTGATCAAAACAAGAAATGTAAGTGAGAAATTCGTCTTGGGTGAAGGTTATGTGATTTTTAGACCCAATTTAAAGCTGGGGTACGCAAATTTCAACCTACACAGAAAAGTTCTATATCACTATAGTTCCTGTCTCTCTATTTCTTTGGCCCCATGGCTCTAGATCTGCTTTTTAAGACGGAAAAGTGAAAAATACAGGACCATTCTCTCTCAGCCAATCAGCTCTCAGCTCAAAAAGTCCAATAGTGACTCACAGGGCGCTTTTTTTACACACCAAATAACATGATTTCTAAAAGGATTGAGTCTAAATGTTGTGGGTTTAGTTCTTTACTTTAACAAGCCTCTTTCTCACAATAACACATTTTGATACACAAAATACTGCTGTTAAACCATAAAAACCATTTTAATACAGATCTCATTCTTTAAAATCCAATTTTCTGGTTAATTTAACTTGCCTCCACTCAATGCGTCTTGTATAGAGGACCAAAACTGCCAAAATAATATTAATAAATACAATGGGCACAAGTTTATATATCACTACAAAGTCTGAGATTTTAAATATATTAATTATTATGTTTTATGCATGATTTGTCTCATATTTTTGCATTAATATATGAATTCTTGCATTACTTTGGCAGTCCTGGTCCTCCACACGTCTCATCTCTTTCAACTGGAAATGAATCTCTGTATTTAAATTGCACTAAGAAGCCTAAACGCGTACATATATTTGTACCCTTCTCTTCTTCCAGCCTTGACAATCGATCCGCGTTCTCCTCTCAGTATTCGACACAAGGGAAAAGAAGAGTTTGTTATTTTGTACATAGTATTTTTCTGCTTATATTTTGAGACTAAAGGATTTATAAGAAGCAGAAGTAGGTACTGTATCAGCCGCGTAGACTGTTCCCAAAAAGTGCCTGTGGGCGTCGACATGCAACACGACCGACGGGGAAGTTTTTGAGCAAGAAAGGTCTATATTTGTAACTGTACATTTGTATTTCTGGATCTGTTTTTTTAGGCAGAACGTCGGAATAGTTTTGATACCGTGTCATTCCTCGCATTATTTCAACTTTACCTGAAACATCTCAATAAAAACTTGGTAAAACGTGACGTGGTGTCGTGAGCCGAGTGGTGTTTTTTGTGGAGGGAGACGTGTTTTTGTGTTAGAGCCGGTTCCCGCTGTGATGTCACACTTCCGGGTTCGAGGCCGAGACGTTGCAGAAGTATTAAAAACCAGATCATCATTTTTGACAGAATCTATTTCAGATTGACTTTAATAGATTTTTTTTTCTCTCTGGACTCTCTCTGATCTCTCTCTGGTCTCTCTCTGGTCTCTCTCTCTGGTCTCTCTCTCTGGTCTCTCTCTGGTCTCTCACTGGCCTCTCTCTCTCTGGTCTCTCTCTCTGGTCTCTCTCTGGTCTCTCTCTCTGGTCTCTCTCTGGTCTCTCACTGGCCTCTCACTGGCCTCTCTCTCTGGTCTCTCTCTGGTCTCTCTCATCGCTCTCTCTCTGATCTCTCTCATTGGTCTAATCTTTTTCTCTTTTTTTTTTTTTAAATGTTTCTTGCTAGCTTGAGCACTTCACTGCAAAAAATGACAAAAAAGAGGTAATAAAAGCCTGAATCAAATGTTTTTAAATCTACATTTTATCACATTCTGACAGTGTTCAAACAAGATTCTCCAAGGGGACAAACCATTCAGTCTTATTTTCAGTTTTTCTCATTCCAAGGGAGATATTTTTTGTATATTTTCCTTTGTCCCGTTGGCAAATCTTCTTGAGGCAGTGACAATGTGCTGAAATTGAGATACATTTGACCAAGCTTGAGCTTTTTTTTGCTATTTTTCATCACTTTTTGCAGTGTTTGAGTTGACTTGAATATGAACTGTGCAATACCAATAAACTTGCCTGAGCGTGTTGAGTTTCCCAAAACAAACCCAACATACACGTTCCTAATCCTGAATGATAATAATTGTGCCGTAAACTTCATGTACAGAGATGTTGCACTGGTTTGATCCATGGCAGACCAGTCCAAACTAAGACCCGGGGGCCAAACGCGGTCCTCTGTGGCCTTCTCTGTGGCCCCATCTCTTGCCAACACAAAGACGCCATCAAGGTCTTAAATACAAGTTTGCAGTGTCATCCAGCCATCTTCCATCGCTCAAAGCTCAGATCTGCCCAAATCCAGTCAGAAAAGTTTTGCAATATGTTTTTTTTGTTTGGCTCCTGGACCAGTCTGGGGAACGAAAGAGGCCCTCGCACTAAAACGTTTGGACCCTCCTGGTCTACGGTCTGACCGGGAAACAGAGTCTGGTGGCGTCTTTGCTGTTGCTCTGGCCGTCGATCAGAACCAGCGGCGTCTGCTGATGGTGCTCGATGATGTGAGTCACGCTGCGGAAATACTGTAAAACAAAACACATTTAGATCCAAGACCATTTCACGTTTTTATAAAATACATGAGATCTTTCATTGCAATCTCTCTGTGGTCTCTCCCTCTGGTCTCTCTCTGTTCTCCCCTTCTGGCCTCTCTGGTCTCTCTCTGGTCTCCCTTTGTGGTCTTGCTGGTCTCCCTCTAGTCTCTCTCTCTGGCCTCACTCTGGTCTCCCTCTGGCCTCACTCTGGTCTCCCTCTGGCCTCTCTCTGGTCTCTCTCTGGGATCTCTCTCTGGTCTCTCAGGTCTCTCTTTCTGGCCTCTCTGTTCTCTCTCTGGTCTCCCCGTCTGGTCTCGCCGGCCTCTCTCTGGTCTCTCTCTGGTTTCTCTCTGGTCTCCCTTTCTGGCCTCTCTGGTCTCTCTCTGGTCTCCCCGTCTGCGGTCTCGCTGGTCTCTCTCTAGTCTCCCCTTCTGGTCTCGCTGGTCTCTCTCTGGTCTCCCCTTCTGGTCTCGCTGGTCTCTGTCTGGTCTCCCCTTCTGGTCTCGCTGGCCTCTCTCTGGTTTCCCTTTCTGGCCTCTCTGGTCTCTCTCTGGTCTCCCCGTCTGGTCTCATTGGTCTCTCTCTGGTCTCCCCTTCTGGTCTCGATGGTCTCTCTCTGGTCTCCCCTTCTGGTCTAGCTGGCCTCTCTCTGGTCTCTCTCTGTGGTCTCTCTCTGGTCTCTCTCTGGTCTCTCTCTGGTTTCCCTCTGGTCTCCCTCTGGCCTCTCTCTGGTCTCTTCCTGTGGCCTCTCTCTGGTCTCTCTCTGGTCTCTCTCTGGTCTCTCTCTGGTCTCTCTCTGGTCTCTCTCTGGTCTCTCTCTGGTCTCTCTCTGGTCTCCCTCTGGTCACCCTCTGGCCTCTCTCTGGTCTCTTCCTGTGGCCTCTCTCCGGTCTCTCTGTGGCCTCTTCCTGTGGCCTCTCTCCGGTCTCTCTGTGGCCTCTTCCTGTGGCCTCTCTCCGGTCTCTCTGTGGCCTCTTCCTGTGGCCTCTCTCTGGTCTCTCTCTGGTCTCTCTCTGGTCTCTCTCTGGTCTCTCTCTGGTCACCCTCTGGTCACCCTCTGGTCTGCCTCTGCTCTCCCTCTGGTCTCTCTCTCCACACTGACCTCCTCTCCTGTCTTCTCCCTCCCCAGGGCGTACTGCCTCCTGGTGGAGAGGAGGCGTACTGGGATGTTGTAGACGTGGTCGTTATGAAACACCACCAGAGTGAACGGCTGCTGCGCGTCGTGACCCGAGCTGTTCCGCACCAGGAACGCTCCGTCCTGGACCAGAAAGATTATGTTAAAGTCTTCACTAAAACACGTTTAAAAGCAGACAACCAGAAGTCCCTGACATTTGGACTTTTTTCCATTGAGTAGTTTTGAACCTGACCAAAACACTGAAACATAAATCTCCAGCAGGACAGTGATGCGTTTTCCGTGTCCATGAGTCTGAGTGTGGCTCTCACCTGATTGGTCTGAGCCAGGACTTGGTCAGCTGTTTTTCGGTCACAGGAACCTGCGAACCAGGGTTTACAGTGCAGCTCTGACTCCTGCAACACATCACAGACTGCTCCTGAACTCTGGTCTCTCTCTGGTCTCTCTCTGGTCTCTCTCTGGTCTCTCTCTGGTCTCTCTCTGGTCTCTATCTAGTAAGTAGTAAGTAAGTAAGTTTTTATTTATATACCGCCTTTTCACTGCAGATCTGAGTCTCAAAGCGGTTTACAATTGTTAATTTTGGGCATTTGTCTCTCACTCCACACAGAGATGGGAGCGGGGTCGCCAGTACAGGAGGCATATGCCAGAACTATTGGACATATTTTTAGTGGTAGGGGAAACCGGAGTACCCGGAGGAAACCTACGCAGACACGGGGAGAACATGCAAACTCCACTCAGAAAGGCCCTGGTCCGACCGGGATTCGAACCCAGGACCTTCTTGCTGAGAGGCGAGAGTGCTATCCACTCAGCCACCGTGCCGCCGTATCTAGTCTCTTCTAGGCTCTCTCTCTAGTCTCTCTCTCTGGTCTCTCTCTCCCTGGTCCCTCTCTCTAGTCTCTCTCTGGTCTCTCTCTCTAGTCTCTCTCTGGTCTCTCTCTGTAGTCTCTCCCTGGTCCCTCTCTCTAGTCTCTCTCTATAGTCTCTCGTTATAGTCTCACTCTAGTCTCGCTCTCTCTGGTCTGTCTCTCTCTAGTTTCTCTCTGGTCTGTCTCTGGTTTCTTTCTCTAGTCTCTCTACCTGGTCTGTAGTCTCTCTCTGGTCTTTCTATCTAGTCCCTCTCTCTGGTCTCTCTAGTCTCTCTCTTTGGTCTCTCTCTCTGGTGCCTCTCTCTCTGGTCTCTCTCTCTCTGGTGCCTCGCCCTAGTCTCTCTCTCTCTGGTGCCTCGCCCTAGTCTCTCTCTCTCTGGTGCTTCTCTCTAGTCTCAGTCTCTAGTCTCTCTCTCTAGTCTTTCTCTAGAGACAGCCAAGAGAAATGGAACAGAGAGACATTTTATTTGACTCTAGAGAAGATTACCTCGTCTTCCTCCGTGTTTCCGTTCTCTGCCTCAGTCTCTTTCTCGGTGTGTTCTGGAAGTGAAAAAATGACATATTTGGTTTTTAATCATTTGTGTAAAGTTATCATATCTCCTCCATCAAGAGTTAAACATCGTAAACACATTTCAAAGGTGCTTGAAAGACCTCATTGCAAAGTCCATGATCCGGGCGCCAGAACTCACCGTATTGAGCTAATCTCACCCATAAAGTACCATGTGGCCGCAGAACTAATTCATCAACGACAAAACAAGGAATAAAACCAGGTTCAGCTGTTACGGTCCCAGCTGGATTCGTCTGCATATCTGGCAACCCGAGTCAGGGAGAGTGGGAGAGGCTGCAGTACCACCTTTGGCCAGATTATTATATACTGTGCCTTTAAGCAGTATTCTATTTATTTTTATAATTCTTTATCAAGGCATATATTCCAGTGCAGAGAGAGACCACAAAGAGACCAGAGGAGAAAAAAGAGACTAGAAAGGGACCAGAGGGACTTGCTGTCTTTCAGATACAGACTAAACTAAAGTATGATTGTGATAGAAGTTCATCCAGACTTCCACTTTTCAAACTATAAATGTCTGTAAGAAAGAAGAGAGAGTTTTTATGACTTACTCTGAGACATGAAAAGTGGAAGAGGAATCCTGCAACAGAACAGAGACAATTAAAGCTGAGGGACACAACTTTTTTGCTCCGTAATTATTCTATGTTGTTTGTCAAAAGAAAAAGGTAAAATGTGTGAAAGATACCCCAGACCAGAGAAACCAGAGAGAGAGACCAGAGAGAGAGACCAGAGAGAGAGACCAGAGAGAGAGACCAGAGAGAGAGACCAGAGAGAGAGACCAGAGAGAGAGACCAGAGAGAGAGACCAGAGAGAGAAAGCAGAGAGAGACCAGAGAGAGAAAGCAGAGAGAAACCAGAGAGAGAAACCAGAGAGAGACCAGAGAGAGAAACCAGAGAGAGAAACCAGAGAGAGACCAAAGAGAGGGACCAGAGAAAGACCAGAGAGAGACCAGAGAGAGAAACCAGAGAGAGAAACCAGAGAGAGACCAAAGAGAGGGACCAGAGAAAGACCAGAGAGAGAGATCAGAGAGAGACCAGAGAGAGGCTAGAGAGAGACCAGAAAAAGAACAAAGAGAGAGGCTAGAGAGAGAAAGACCAGAGAAAGACAAGAGAAAAACCAAAGAGAGACCAGCGAGAGACCAGCGAGAGACCAGCGAGAGACCAGCGAGAGACCGGCGAGAGACCGGCGAGAGACCGGCGAGAGACCGGCGAGAGACCAGAGAGAGAGACCAGAGAGAGAGACCAGAGAGAGAGACCAGAGAGAGAGACCAGAGAGAGACCAGAGAGAGACCAGAGAGAGACCAGAGAGAGACCATCGAGAGACCAGAGAGAGACCAGCGAGAGACCAACGAGAGACCAGCGAGAGACCAGCGAGAGACATGAGAGAGACATGAGAGAGAGACCAGAGAGAGAGACCAGAGAGAGAGAGACCAGAGAGAGACCAGAGAGAGACCAGAGAGAGACCAGCGAGAGACCAGCGAGAGACCAACGAGAGACCAGCGAGAGACCAGCGAGAGACCAGCGAGAGACCAGCGAGAGACCAGCGAGAGACCAGCGAGAGACCAGCGAGAGACCAGAGAGAGACCAGAGAGAGACCAGAGAGAGACCAGAGAGAGAGACCAGAGAGAGAGACCAGCGAGAAGACCAGCGAGAGACCAGCGAGAGACCAGCGAGAGACCAGAGAGAGACCAGAGAGAGACCAGAGAGAGACCAGCGAGAGACCAGCGAGAGACCAGCGAGAGACCAGCGAGAGACCAGCGAGAGACCAGCGAGAGACCAACGAGAGACCAGCGAGAGACCAGCGAGAGACCAGCGAGAGACCAGCGAGAGAGACCAGAGAGAGACCAGAGAGAGACCAGAGAGAGACCAGAGAGAGACCAGAGAGAGACCAGCGAGAAACCAGCGAGAGACCAGCGAGAGACCAGCGAGAGACCAGCGAGAGACCAGAGAGAGACCAGAGAGAGCGAGCCATGAACTAGAGACAGATTTATCGTAATCATACTTTGGTCGTTTCAAATCCAGGGAGGAACTTTTTGGAGCTGGCAGCTCAGGTTCACTTGTCGTCACGGGCAACGTCCGGGCTGGAAATAAACACATACACAATCAAAATTAACAATAAATACATTCAAGTAAGTCTTCTTTTCACTAAGAGAATCACAATCACAAAACGTATATGTTAAGACTCGCAATAATATAGAATTGTTTTCCAAATATCTCAAAACTATGAAATCGTCAAATTTTTGCCAATTCCAAACCCTCATTTTTGGTCTGAAAAACGCAACATTGATTGCGTTTGAAAAAATAACTGTTTTTCTTACCCTCAAACGCTCTGGACAACGGTTTGGCTGGAACTTTCTGAAAAAAAAAAAAAAAGATTAATAATATCCAGCAATAAAACATGTTCTGTCACTCAGTACAGATCATAAATATCATTATTTATGATCTGTAATAATAATAAATAATACTAAAGGTCACTGAAAAAGACTGTTTTAACTGCAGCAGAAAGAAGAGTAGAACTGGATTAAACTGAATTAAACCAGACCCCAGTTTCTCTTAATCTGGATTACTACAGTCTGGATCAGAGACATGGGTCTGAGTCCTGCTGTATGGATCAGAGACATGGGTCTGAGTCCTGCTGTATGGACCAGAGACATGGGTCTGAGTCCTGCTGTATGGACCAGAGACATGGGTCTGAGTCCTGCTGTATGGACCAGAGACATGGGTCTGAGTCCTACTGTATGGATCAGAGACATGGGTCTGAGTCCTGCTGTATGGATCAGAGACATGGGTCTGAGTCCTGCTGTATGGACCAGAGACATGGGTCTGAGTCCTGCGGTATGGATCAGAGACATGGGTCTGAGTCCTGCTGTATGGACCAGAGACATGGGTCTGAGTCCTGCTGTATGGACCAGAGACATGGGTCTGAGTCCTGCGGTATGGACCAGAGACATGGGTCTGAGTCCTGCTGTATGGATCAGAGACATGGGTCTGAGTCCTGCTGTATGGATCAGAGACATGGGTCTGAGTCCTACTGTATGGACCAGAGATATGGGTCTGAGTCCTACTGTATGGATCAGAGACATGGGTCTGAGTCCTGCTGTATGGACCAGAGACATGGGTCTGAGTCCTACTGTATGGATCAGAGACATGGGTCTGAGTCCTACTGTATGGATCAGAGACATGGGTCTGAGTCCTGCTGTATGGATCAGAGACATGGGTCTGAGTCCTACTGTATGGATCAGAGACATGGGTCTGAGTCCTACTGTATGGATCAGAGACATGGGTCTGAGTCCTGCTGTATGGATCAGAGACATGGGTCTGAGTCCTACTGTATGGACCAGAGACATGGGTCTGAGTCCTGCTGTATGGACCAGAGACATGGGTCATCAAGAAGGACAGTAAGCTGAGGCTGGAGGCATTTCAAAACCCAATACTGAAAAGGATAACTGGTACTCACACCAGCGCTCATGGTACATGTGAAGAGCTCAGACTAAAATGCAAATGCTCTAAAAGTATTATTGCAAAAAGAAGAATGAAATTCTGTCAAAGAATAAGGTCAATGGAAGACTCAAGAATACAAAAAATCATCCTTGACGTGAAACCAAAAGAGAAAAAACAAGAAGGCGGACAAATGAAACAATGGATAAAACAAATTGAAGAAGATGCAAAAGCACAAAATATGTCACTAATCGACCTGGTATCCACCTGGTATCCACCTGGTATCCACCTGGTAGATCTGACGAAGGAAAACTGGAGCACATTTCTTGAAGCACTGTAGGCACATCCCCAAGCCCATTCAAAGGAGCTCAGTGAGTTTTTTTTAGCAGGTGAGGCCACTTTTAAAGAGGCCAAGTCCTGCAGTACCCGGGCCTCCCCCGGGTCGCTCCCCTCCCTCTGGGTCACATCCCCAGAAGCTCGCACCTGTAAGTCCACCTGTTCAGGGAAGCGAGGCGGGATTCTCTCCCAATAAGACCAGGCCAGATTCAACCGCGAGGCATAGCTTTTTTACTCACTCGATAACTCCGGGGTAGGATATAGTAGTAGTAGTAGTAGCAGTAGTAGTAGCAGTAGTAGTAGCAGTAGTAGTAGTAGTTAACATTAATTGTGAATACATTAGAAAGACAGAATCACTATTATCCTTATTATTTTTATCCTTATAATAACAATAATAATAATAATAATAATAATAATAATAATAATATTATTTATTATTATTATTATGTATTATCATCACTATAATTATTGTTAAATGACTCACAGGTTTCAGTGGAGGATTGGGAGATCTCCTGTGAAACAAACACATTAAAAACTTTTTACTTGAAACTTGAACTTGAACAGAATCGACCCTCACTCTCTGGGCAGAGGTCTGGGCCGAGGAAGAGGAAGAGGAAGAGGACGGGAGTCTCTGGGTTTGACGCTGCTCCCTGAGAACACAAATACATCAGGGTTAGTTTTGTCGTCGTAAGAATGTATTTAAACCTTAAAAAACATTTGTAAAAAACATTTATAAGTCGCATTTTTTGGGGAAATGTATTTAATGAAATCCAACACCAGACATTTCATCTTGAAAGGCAAAAAATAAAAGAATAAAGAACTGACTGAATAACGCTAAACTTAATAGCCCGGGCTTTTATTTGATATTTTATGGTAAATAAAATATATATAAATAGATAAATAAATTATATATAGAATAGAGAATAAGTTGCACGCCAAACTATGACAAAAACTGCGACGTATGATCAAGTAAATATATATATTTATCTTAGTTTCAACTGTTTCCATTGTTAAAAAAATCCTCTTTTGTGCCTAAAACGTACTGTTGTCTCCATCACAGACTTCGTACTCCTCGTCTGTCTGCTCCTGGAATCAGACAGAAACATGGGAAAGAAGCTTTTATATGTAGTTCACATTTGCACATATTTTTACGGGTCACAAATGTCTTTAAAGTAGTAATATGTAAGATTATCATGTCAAGTCATCATTAAAGGGTCCTAATCTGTCATCATTAAAGGGTCCTAATCTGTCATCATTAAAGGGTCCTAATCTGTCATCATTAAAGGGTCATAATCTATCATCATTGAAGGGTCCTAATCTGTCATCATTAAAGGGTCATAATCTGTCATCATTAAAGGGTCCTTATCCGTCATCATTAAAGGGTCCTAATCTGTCATCATTAAAGGGCCCTAATCTGTCATAATTAAAGGGCCCTAATCTGTCATCATTAAAGGGTCATAATCTGTCATCATTAAAGGGCCCTAATCTGTCATCATTAAAGGGTCATAATCTGTCATCATTAAAGGGTCCTAATCTGTCATCATTAAAGGGCCCTAATCTGTCATCATTAAAGGGTCCTAATCTGTCATCATTAAAGGGTCCTAATCTGTCATCATTAAAGGGTCCTAATCTGTCATCATTAAAGGGTCCTAATCTGTCATCATTAAAGGGCCCTAATCTGTCATCATTAAAGGGCCCTAATCTGTAATCATTAAAGGGCCCTAATCTGTCATCATTAAAGGGTCCTAATCTGTCATCATTAAAGGGCCCTAATCTGTCATCATTAAAGGGCCCTAATCTGTCACCATTAAAGGACCCTAATCTGTTGTCATTAAAGGGCCCTAATCTGTAATCATTAAAGGGTCCTAATCTGTCATCATTAAAGGGCCCTAATCTGTCATCATTAAAGGGTCCTAATCTGTCATCATTAAAGGGCCCTAATCTGTCATCATTAAAGGGCCCTAATCTGTCACCATTAAAGGACCCTAATCTGTTGTCATTAAAGGGCCCTAATCTGTCGTCATTGAAGGCCCCTAATCTGTCGTCATTAAAGGGCCCTAATCTGTCGTCATTAAAGGGCCCTAATCTGTCATCATTAAAGGGTCATAATCTGTCATCATTAAAGGGTCCTAATCTGTCATAATTAAAGGGCCCTAATCTGTCATCATTAAAGGGTCCTAATCTGTCATCATTAAAGGGTCATAATCTGTCATCATTAAAGGGTCCTAATCTGTCATCATTAAAGGGCCCTAATCTGTCATCATTAAAGGGCCCTAATCTGTAATCATTAAAGGGTCCTAATCTGTCATCATTAAAGGGCCCTAATCTGTCATCATTAAAGGGTCATAATCTGTCATCATTAAAGGGCCCTAATCTGTCATCATTAAAGGGTCATAATCTGTCATCATTAAAGGGTCCTAATCTGTCATCATTAAAGGGCCCTAATCTGTCATCATTAAAAGGTCCTAATCTGTCATCATTAAAGGGTCATAATCTGTCATCATTAAAGGGTCCTAATCTGTCATCATTAAAGGGCCCTAATCTGTCATCATTAAAGGGCCCTAATCTGTAATCATTAAAGGGTCCTAATCTGTCATCATTAAAGGGCCCTAATCTGTCATCATTAAAGGGTCCTAATCTGTCATCATTAAAGGGCCCTAATCTGTCATCATTAAAGGGCCCTAATCTGTCACCATTAAAGGACCCTAATCTGTTGTCATTAAAGGGCCCTAATCTGTAATCATTAAAGGGTCCTAATCTGTCATCATTAAAGGGCCCTAATCTGTCATCATTAAAGGGTCCTAATCTGTCATCATTAAAGGGCCCTAATCTGTCATCATTAAAGGGCCCTAATCTGTCACCATTAAAGGACCCTAATCTGTTGTCATTAAAGGCCCCTAATCTGTCGTCATTAAAGGGCCCTAATCTGTCGTCATTTAAAGGGCCCTAATCTGTCATCATTAAAGGGTCATAATCTGTCATCATTAAAGGGTCCTAATCTGTCATCATTAAAGGGCCCTAATCTGTCATCATTAAAGGGTCCTAATCTGTCATCATTAAAGGGTCATAATCTGTCATCATTAAAGGGTCCTAATCTGTCATCATTAAAGGGCCCTAATCTGTCATCATTAAAGGGCCCTAATCTGTAATCATTAAAGGGTCCTAATCTGTCATCATTAAAGGGCCCTAATCTGTCATCATTAAAGGGTCCTAATCTGTCATCATTAAAGGGCCCTAATCTGTCATCATTAAAGGGCCCTAATCTGTCACCATTAAAGGACCCTAATCTGTTGTCATTAAAGGGCCCTAATCTGTAATCATTAAAGGGTCCTAATCTGTCATCATTAAAGGGCCCTAATCTGTCATCATTAAAGGGTCCTAATCTGTCATCATTAAAGGGCCCTAATCTGTCATCATTAAAGGGCCCTAATCTGTCACCATTAAAGGACCCTAATCTGTTGTCATTAAAGGGCCCTAATCTGTCGTCATTAAAGGGCCCTAATCTGTCGTCATTGAAGGCCCCTAATCTGTCGTCATTAAAGGGCCCTAATCTGTCGTCATTAAAGGGCCCTAATCTGTCATCATTAAAGGGTCATAATCTGTCATCATTAAAGGGTCCTAATCTGTCATCATTAAAGGGCCCTAATCTGTCATCATTAAAGGGTCCTAATCTGTCATCATTAAAGGGTCATAATCTGTCATCATTAAAGGGTCCTAATCTGTCATCATTAAAGGGCCCTAATCTGTCATCATTAAAGGGCCCTAATCTGTAATCATTAAAGGGTCCTAATCTGTCATCATTAAAGGGCCCTAATCTGTCATCATTAAAGGGTCATAATCTGTCATCATTAAAGGGCCCTAATCTGTCATCATTAAAGGGTCAAAATCTGTCATCATTAAAGGGTCCTAATCTGTCATCATTAAAGGGCCCTAATCTGTCATCATTAAAGGGTCCTAATCTGTCATCATTAAAGGGTCATAATCTGTCATCATTAAAGGGTCCTAATCTGTCATCATTAAAGGGCCCTAATCTGTAATCATTAAAGGGTCCTAATCTGTCATCATTAAAGGGCCCTAATCTGTAATCATTAAAGGGTCCTAATCTGTCATCATTAAAGGGCCCTAATCTGTCATCATTAAAGGGCCCTAATTTGTCACCATTAAAGGACCCTAATCTGTTGTCATTAAAGGGCCCTAATCTGTAATCATTAAAGGGTCCTAATCTGTCATCATTAAAGGGCCCTAATCTGTCATCATTAAAGGGTCCTAATCTGTCATCATTAAAGGGCCCTAATCTGTCATCATTAAAGGGCCCTAATCTGTCACCATTAAAGGACCCTAATCTGTTGTCATTAAAGGGCCCTAATCTGTCGTCATTAAAGGGCCCTAATCTGTCGTCATTGAAGGCCCCTAATCTGTCGTCATTAAAGGGTCCTAATCTGTCATCATTAAAGGGTCATAATCTGTCATCATTAAAGGGTCCTAATCTGTCATCATTAAAGGGCCCTAATCTGTCATCATTAAAGGGCCCTAATCTGTAATCATTAAAGGGTCCTAATCTGTCATCATTAAAGGGCCCTAATCTGTCATCATTAAAGGGCCCTAATCTGTCACCATTAAAGGACCCTAATCTGTTGTCATTAAAGGGCCCTAATCTGTCGTCATTGAAGGCCCCTAATCTGTCATCATTAAAGGGTCCTAATCTGTCATCATTAAAGGGTCATAATCTGTCATCATTAAAGGGTCCTAATCTGTCATCATTAAAGGGCCCTAATCTGTCATCATTAAAGGGCCCTAATCTGTAATCATTAAAGGGTCCTAATCTGTCATCATTAAAGGGCCCTAATCTGTCATCATTAAAGGGTCCTAATCTGTCATCATTAAAGGGCCCTAATATGTCATCATTAAAGGGCCCTAATCTGTCACCATTAAAGGACCCTAATCTGTTGTCATTAAAGGGCCCTAATCTGTAATCATTAAAGGGTCCTAATCTGTCATCATTAAAGGGCCCTAATCTGTCATCATTAAAGGGTCCTAATCTGTCATCATTAAAGGGCCCTAATCTGTCATCATTAAAGGGCCCTAATCTGTCACCATTAAAGGACCCTAATCTGTTGTCATTAAAGGGCCCTAATCTGTCGTCATTAAAGGGCCCTAATCTGTCGTCATTGAAGGCCCCTAATCTGTCGTCATTAAAGGGCCCTAATCTGTCGTCATTAAAGGGCCCTAATCTGTCATCATTAAAGGGTCATAATCTGTCATCATTAAAGGGTCCTAATCTGTCATCATTAAAGGGCCCTAATCTGTCATCATTAAAGGGTCCTAATCTGTCATCATTAAAGGGTCATAATCTGTCATCATTAAAGGGTCCTAATCTGTCATCATTAAAGGGCCCTAATCTGTCATCATTAAAGGGCCCTAATCTGTAATCATTAAAGGGTCCTAATCTGTCATCATTAAAGGGCCCTAATCTGTCATCATTAAAGGGTCCTAATCTGTCATCATTAAAGGGCCCTAATCTGTCATCATTAAAGGGCCCTAATCTGTCACCATTAAAGGACCCTAATCTGTTGTCATTAAAGGGCCCTAATCTGTCGTCATTAAAGGGCCCTAATCTGTCGTCATTGAAGGCCCCTAATCTGTCGTCATTAAAGGGCCCTAATCTGTCGTCATTAAAGGGCCCTAATCTGAGCCCTAAATTGACGAAACTCTTGTCTATTCAGCTGTTATGGTCCCAGCTGGATTCGTCTGCATATCTGGCAACCTGAGTCAGGGAGAGTGGGAGAGGCTGCAGTACCACTTTTGGGCACATTTTTACAAACTGCTGCTTTAACAGTTAGAAATCAACACAAGTCAATAATACTGTTTGAACTCACGGGAGGAGGAGATCTCGGAGGTAATCTGGAATCAGAAACAAACTTGGATTAAAGTGATAATTATAGAAATAAAAGTGAAATGAATTGAACACATTGATTCATTCAGTCAACTGCAACACATCATGACAAAGTGCAAGCAGCAGTAAGTCCAGGTGGAAAGACCGTAAAAGAGACCAGAGAGAGACCAGAGACCAGACAAAGACCAGAGAGAGACCAGAGAGAGACTAGAGAGAGAGACCAGAGAGAGACCAGAGAAAGATTACAGAGAGACTAGAGAGAAACCGGAGAGACTAGAGAGAGACTAGAGAGAGACCAGATAGAGACCAGAGAGAGACTAGAGAGAGACTAGAGAGAGACTAGAGAGAGACCAGAGAGAGACCAGAGAGAGACCAGAGAGAGACCAGAGAGAGACCAGAGAGAGGCCAGAGAGAGACCAGAGAGAGACCAGAGAAACTAGAGAGAGACTAGAGAGACCAGAGAGAGACTAGAGAGAGACTAGAGAGAGACTAGAGAGAGACCAGAGAGAGACCAGAGAGGGACAGTAAGAGAATAGTGAGGGACCAGAAAGAAACAAGAGACCAGAGAGAGACCAGAAAGAGACATCAGGTGTCTTATTCTGGTCTTTTTCTGGGAGACCAGAGATTATAGAATGTGCCAAAATGTCTGCAGCTCTGCCAGTAAACAGAAGCCTTGACAGAAGATAATGACCGTGGGCTCGGTGATGGAGGCAATGGATGTGTCTGTGAAGTCTTTGGACCCAGTCTGTAAATAAAACAGGATTATTGACCTTATAATTCTTCAGTTAAAGTAAATATGATCTTCTTTGTACCTGTTTATCGTTGGAGGAGGCTGCGGCTGGAGTTTGGGCCAAAAATCACAAGTATTTTAAGGAATAATGTTTGAATTTAGGGGTCGATTAGAGTGAAGTTAAAGTTACCTTGTTGTCTGGGACTTCGTAAACCTCTGAAACAAGACGGGAAAGTTGTTGGGAGAAAGGTTTTAGAACTTTTTCAACACAATGATTTTTGTATTTGACAACGATCAAACGGCTGCTTTAGTGAGAGCATGTAACAGTGGCTTCTCATGGTTTTATATGAGAGAAATGAGACATGGTCGAGATAGAGACAGACAGACAGACAGAAGATACACACATGGATGGAGAGATAGATAAATAGACAGACACACATAGACAGACACACACACATAGACAAATACACATAGACAGACACACACACATAGACACAGACAGACACACACACATAGACAGACACACATACATAGACAGACACACACACACAGACAGACAGAGACACACACACATAGACACATACACAGACAGACAGAGACACACACACAGAGACACACAGACAGACACACACACATAGACACATAGACAGACACACATACATAGACAGACACACACACACACAGACAGACAGAGACACACACACATAGACACATACACAGACAGACAGACAGAGACACACACACAGAGACACACAGACAGACACACACACATAGACATACACAGACAGACAGACAGACACACACACATAGACACATACATAGACAGACACACACATACATTGACACATACATAGACACACACACACGCACAGAGAGGCTGCAGTACCACTTTTGGCCAGATTTGTACATACTGCTCCTTTAAGTTTAAAAGTAGTGGTTCAAGAATGTACACGAAAATACAATAACTACCATTCAACATCCAGCCAAAGTATCTGTCTTATACAAATCACTCCAAACGTTTCTTACCGGGACTGTCCGGTCTCTGCGGTGGTGCGGCTCTGCCTCCTGGAATTAGTTTAGTTTAGTTTAGTTTATTCACAATTTCACACAGTCCCTATAAGTTCATGTGCTACATTGTGAAAATGGAACTCCCAGAAGCACAAGCTCTTACATTCGGGGTCCATCACACCTCCACCACCACCAATTACACACATACAGTATACAATCACATTATAAATAAATAAATATTCTTTATAATGTCTGTTTTTACTGTGAGGCGGATTCTCGTTTGGCTCGATGTAGTCTTCGTCGTTGCTGCCGTCCGGGCTGATGTAGTCCGCCTGAAACATTATGATTAAGTTGAGAACATTGGTGGTGACCGACACTGACAGAAGCGAGGCAACCATTACACACACACGCACACAAACCAAACTCATTTGAATACGGGTGAAGTGTCTTGCCAAAGGACACAACAACAATTTAACCTCACTATAGAACCTGATGTTCCCCAAAGTTTCCCATCTCAGTATTAACCAGGCCATGCCCTGCTTAGCTTCAGAGGTTTGAAAGGATCTGGCTTTCACATGTGTCTTTCATGTCACGGTTGTACACGATTTTGATTTAGAAAAAAAACACACGTTATTGTTTTGATCCATTTTAAATGTAAAAGTACTAATCCAGTCTTGACTTTCACTGAGCAGACCAGGACAAACTGCGGTGCGAGGGCCACATTAGGCCCGTTCGTCTTTTCCATGTGGCCCCCGGACTCTTCCCTGTTATTTATTTATTTAACAGGGACATTGCACAATAAATGTATTATTCTGACAAAGCTACAAGCTAACTTTCCTCCATAGTCACTGGGAAGAGGCAAAGTGTCCACAGATATAGCTATAGATCTATATATAGATATATATATTTTTCATTTTGATACTGAAGTAGCCTGGTCGTACCACACCATAGTACAAATTACATTACGTGCTCCCTTGACTTCGTTAACAGGTGGGAGGGGTTAACTCCTTTTGCAGATTTAAGCGATTGGATCTGAGTTTACCTTGACGTATGTAGTGCGCCCGAGTCTGTCGTTTGGATTTAGCATGTAACCCTAACCCTAACCCATGCCTAGCTTTAGCCATCTCCTTTGCCGCTAAGAGCCCGTGGGGAGCGCCACAATTTTTCCAGCGATTACATTTACTAAACATTCCTCTTGCTCCGTCTTTAATTTCTTGATAGAACCTGACCGGATTACGTTACATGCAGGAAATGATGATTTCCCGGAGTGTACGGATGGATAAGGACAGGCTAATAATGAAGTGGCTGTATGCTAAATAAAATAAAAAATACACCACATAACATTGGGTCCGGCCCTTCACTGTACGGCAATATCCCGGCTGCAAAGGACTGAGATTTACCCAAACAGGTCTTTACACTTTACACTTTATATAAGAACTCTATATAGCACTTTTATATAAGAACTCTATATAGCACTTTATATAAGAACTCTATATAGCACTTTATATAAGAACTATATATAGCACTTTATATAAGAACTCTATATAGCACTTTATATAAGAACTCTATATAGTACTTTATATAAGAACTCTATATATATATCTATATATGAAATTCAGTCGTCTGTATCAGCTAAATACTTTCCTACTCAACGAATGTTCACGCAGAGGACTTGCCTTCATTGAGAATTTTAATCTGTTCTGGAATAGGCATGAGCTTTTTGAAGGGAAAGGGCCACATCTGAACACTTACGGAGTAAAAGTGTTGATGGATAACCTTTCTTTTGCCCTGAGACCTCAGCCTGCGCAGCGCGTGCAGCCATCGAAAGGGAGGAAGCCGACTCTAAAAGTCTCTGCACCTCCACCACCTCGAAGGATCTCAACACCTCCACCACCTCGAAGGATCTCAACACCTCCACTGTCATCAGAAGCAGCTGCATCATCACCAGTAGCAGCACCAGCAGCACGTCCACCACCACCAACATCCTCATCCCCAGCCTGCTCCAAAGCAGCCACGCCTTCTTCACCTACAGCGCCTCTGAAGCCCCCATCCTCACCCCAGCCTACAGCAGACAGGCCTGTGCGGGGGTTTCCTCAACCACCTGTCCCTCCATCAAAGACTCCCTCGCCACCTCCCATGGACCTGTCTTGGGTCCCCCCTGCCACGTCCACTCCATCAAGAGAGAATGGGGACACGTCCCTTTGTTTTTCATCCCCGCCTTCACTGTTAGACCTACCTGAACACTCTGCAGGGCTAATAAAATCGGCGATGAAGACTATTCCTCTCACACCCATATTAGCTAGATCTAGAGTCCTGTCCAACATGCTAAACCACTCCCCATATGTACCTCCAAAACCACCTAGGGTTTTCAATTCACCTACAAAAACCACCTCAGCCAGTCCCTCCCCTAACCTCATGACCATTCCACCCCCACTTCCCCCTCGTTCAACACCCAAAACCTCTGCCTCAGCCCACCCCGGCCCTAACCCATCACCAAAAACCCCTCCACCTCCCTGCCCCCCTCGTTCAACACCCAAAAGCCACCCACCTCTCCATCCTCCTCCCCCGCCTTCCCCTTCCCCTCTTTTCTCTAAACACTAGGATGCACAGGGTCTCTGCTTCGCAGCCACTGGCAGTCTAGTTAGAGGAGAGACCCGGCTGGGGCCCTGTCATGAAGCCACCTGTGCCATTCCCTTAGTGATAACACAAAGAATACATTACAGAAAAACATCTGGAGTTAATCAGTCTAATCTGGAAAATCTAATTCTTGTTCCGTGTAAGAATCAGCCAACCACAACCGCTGATACTGAAACTTTGAAACTTGCTACGCTTAATGTCAGATCTCTTTGTAACAAGTCTTTTTTAATCAATAATTTTATTTGTTCTCATAATCTTGATCTTATGTTCATGGCTGAAACTTGGCTTGACCAAAATTCAGGAAATGCAGTTTTAATAGAAGCATCACCACCAAATTTCAAGTTTGAATCTGAAAGACGGGAAAACAAAACAGGAGGAGGCTTAGCTGCCATTTTTAGAGACCACTTTGTCTCCCATAGAATGTCTCTTGGGAAGTTTTTGTCATTTGAATATGTGTCTTTTAAAATACAACAAAAACAATCTCCTCCAATACTCTTCATTGTCCTATACAAGCCACCGCAGTCATGTCACAGTTTTATTGATAATTTGCTTTCAGTTGTATGCACAGATTTTGATAGTTTGGTTATTACAGGTGATTTTAATATTCATGTGGATAATGTTGATGACAGAAATGCAAATGAGCTGAGTTCTGTACTTGAATCCTTTGATCTCACTCAGCACGTAAGTGGCCCCACCCACAGCAGAGGGCACACTCTAGACCTGTTAGTTACAAAGGGGGTGAATATTTCAAATGTAAACGTGGTCGATGTTGCTCTTTCGGATAATTGTTGTGTTTTTTTTGACATGTGTTTCACTAACAAACCACCAGTGGACTCTGCAACTGTATGAAGAAGACACATAAATGAAAATACGAGTGAACTATTTATGGGAATGATAAACTTTGAGAATGCATCGTATTCTACTGTAGATGAACTGTTTAACTCTGTCACCTCTAGTGTTTTGAATGTTCTGGATACCGTTGCCCCTGTGAAGGTTAAAATAGTGAAAAATAAGCAGAAGGCGCCGTGGGCTAAAGCAGACTCGGTCAGGACACAAAAGAGAAAGTGCCGGAGGGCCGAGCGGAAGTGGCGCAAGTCCAACCTCCAGGTTGATTACGAGATCTTCAAAGATAAGTTGTGCAAGTTTAACCGGGTGCTACGTAGTACGAGAGAAAGGTATTTTTCTGAAATGATTAAAGGCTGCAGCAACAATCTGCGTGTTCTGTTCTCAACAGTTAATAGATTAACAAACCCCCCTGTTCAAATGCCATTAGAGCTTACTTCCAAACGTAAATGCAATGAGTTTGCTAATTTTTTCAATGACAAGGTTCAAGGCATCAAAAACGCCAATGGGCCTCATTCACGAACGGTTCTTAGGAACAGATTTGTACGTAAATCCTACTTACGCGGTTTTTACGAAGAAAGTGGCATTCACGAATATTTCTCGTAACCAGAATTTCACTTGGGCAAGTACAAATCCTACGAGTCCTCAGGAGCACTCGTACGCATTCAGTGCCGACATGTTCACACGCCGGGGTTGTCCTCTTTGGTGAAGTTGAATAAAAATACAACATTCCAGTGATATGTCCGTCATATCGATGTATGTATTTATTTATTTGTAGTAATCTTTATTAGTAATCTTTATTTATATACCGCCTTTTTCACTGCAGATCTGGCCTACTTTTTAATTCATTTTGAAATGAAATGTGCCAACGCTTTATCAAATACATTGGAAATCTTGCCGTGTATTAGTGACCCCTTCCTATTTATAGGGGGCATTTCTTTATCCACGGGCCACAGAACAACGGCATATATACTGCTGCTGCAGGAGGTTACTGGGTCCGCGCTGAGTCTCTGCGCTGGTCTCTCCTATGGATCTATACGGGTCTGCACTGGTCTCTCCCATGGATCTATACGGGTCTGCACTGGTCTCTCCCATGGATCTATACGTCTGCGCTGGTGTCTCCCATGGATCTATACGGGTCTGCGCTGGTCTCTCCCATGGATCCATACGGGTCCGCGCTGGTCTCTCAAGTCTGGTCTATGCGGTCTCTCTTCGGTCCGCGCTGGTCTCTGCGCACCGGTCTCTCCAGTCAGGTGTCTCCAGTCTATGCGGTCTCTCCTGTCCGCGCTGGTTTCTGTGTGCTGGTCACTCCAGTCTCTCCTCGGGTCTGCATTGGTCTCAGCGCTGGTCCGCGCTGGATCTCCTCCCAGGGTCCAAAATATTTTGAGATTAATCTCAAAACATTTTGAGATTCATCTTTAAAATAATACATAATATATTTAGGCCGAGCCAATACGAAGTATTGGGGAGGCCTATTGTTATTCACCGGTTTCATATTATTCTTTTTTTTCCGCATCTTCAATTCGATTTTTGACCCTGAAGACATGCACGAAAGTCTGCACATGGGGGGTCTAAAACGACCGGTCCGGCGAAAAATTTGATAAAATGAACGTTTCCAGATTGTCCGACGCTCGCCGACTCTATAACGCCCCCTAGAAATTTCATTTTTTTTGACCCTCTGGGGATTTTTTTTCAAATATTGGAGTAGGTACACGAAATTCGGATGAGTGATAGATCTCTATGAGACGAGCATAAAAGCCGTTCTAAGCACATGTCTGGGACCAACAGGAAGTCGGCCATGAGGGGCCGAAGTTTCGCCACTAATTTGACTTTTCATTTATAAATTCGAACTAGTCCCTGGTTTTTCATCACACAGAGTTCTACCACGTCATTTCCCGCTCTGGACGGATTGAAGTTATATAATCATCGAAAAAAAGTTAGAAAATCTTCACCGTTTTCGTCCCTCGCCATGGCGAATAAGGCCTTCGTTTTGGCCATTTTCGCTGAGCCCTGAGGGCCACAGGCTCAGACCTACAGAGCTGAGACTCACATCAGTAATATTAGGTTATGGCCTGAACGCAATGACACTAAAATCATTCGCCCAATTTGAGCTCTTTAGCGCCACCTGTCGGAAAGTAATAGGGCACTAGTGCTCGGATCGGCCCGAAAATCGCTGAGTGTATTCTCTGGACCGACACGAGCAAAACATTACATTACGCAAAAGTTGTAAGTCCTACACCTGACCACTGGGGGCGCTGGAAAGTGAATAAATGAGCTTTTTAGGGCAAAATGTTTGTCCGATGAGGCTAAAAATGAATTCAGAAATACAACGTATGACCCTGAACACAACGATATGCAACACACAACTGTGAGTGCAACAGCGCCACCTACAGGCAGTTCAATGTGTTGCATTTTTGGCTTCGTACTAGTCCCTGGATTTTCATCGCACAGACTTCTACCATGTCATTTCTATATCTGGACGGATTGAAGTTATGTAATCATCGCATAAAAATGTTGTTATCGTTTTCATGCAAGGTAGTGGGGAATTTCTCCATGTTTGATGCTCTCCTGACCACAGGCTCAGACCTACAGAGCTGAAACTCACATCACTAACAGTTGGTAATGACCTGAGAGTAATGGTGTGAAAACACACACCTAATATGACTCTACAGCGCCACCTATGTAAGGCTTCTGACCTAAACTTTTCCGATCTTCACCAAAGTTGCAAAATCAAATCTTTACATCTGTACGAGCAAAATACTACTCTACGTAGAGGGTGCATGTCCCGGAGGTGACCACTAGGGACGCACTTTATCATATAAATGAGCTTTTATATATGTAATCCTGGTCAGATCGGGCTGCCAATTCGTCTGCGTGACGCTTGTGGGACTGGCGCCCAGGAGGCGGTCGCAAGAGGGGCGAGGCCTTTCATCGCCGCTTGCGGCTTTAATTTTAAATTAAGCTCATAACATTTTGAGATTAATCTCATCATATTCTTAGATTAATCTCATAATTTTGCTAGTTCGACTTTATAATCATAATATTTCGACTTTTAAGTCAACATTTTATAACTTTATTCTCAGTCTGGCAAAAGCCTGCTTTAGGCCTGTTGCTGTTTCCTCTGGCGTCTGCACACGGCCCTGCAGTCCCTTATATGGGCATTAGTGGGCGGTTACTTATGCTAAGTACCTATGGTAATGAAGCACCGGGCACGCGCGCTGTACTTACGAGGAAATGGGATTCATCAATTTGAGAGAACAGCTGCGAACAATTCAGCGGCTTACGAGTGCGTTGATGAATCCCACGTGGGGACTTCTTAGAAATCTACTTAAGGACAACTTGAGAAGAAAGTTGAGTAGTTTCTTACGAAGTTATTCGTGAATGAGGCCCATTGTCTCCAATCCACAGATAACCATCCAACAGCCAGAAAGGCTCTCTGAGCTAACTCACTTTGCACCTGTAAATGATCAAACTGTCCAAGAGATAATCTCCAGTTTGAGCTCCTCCACATGCAGCTTGGATGTACTACCCACTAGATTTCTGAAGTCTGTTCTGAGCAGTCTGTTACCTTCACTCACACAGATAGTAAACATGTCCCTTCATTCTGGAATATTCCCAAAGGCCCTGAAAACTGCAGTAATCAGGCCCCTGCTAAAAGAGAGCAGTCTCGATGCTACGGTACTTAACAACTATCGTCCCATCTCAAATCTGCCATTTATGGGGAAAGTCCTTGAAAAGGTTGTCTACCTACAGCTTACTAGATTTCTTATAATCAACAACTCATTTGATATGTTTCAGTCCGGCTTTAGACCCCACCACAGCACTGAGACTGCTCTTGTTAAGGTTACAAACGATATCCGGCTGAACACTGACGCAGGCAAAGTCTCAATCCTAATCCTGTTAGATCTGAGTGCTGCCTTTGACACTGTCGACCATGAGATCCTCTTACAAAGATTAGAGGACTGGGTTGGAGTCGCTGGCACCGCCCTAAGTTGGTTTAGGTCTTACCTTGAGGACAGGAAGTACTTTGTGGAGATTGGAAACTGTGTCTCAGATCATATGGCCCTGACCTGTGGAGTACCACAGGGGTCGATCCTGGGACCTCTTCTGTTCAATCTCTACATGCTGCCGTTAGGTCAGTTAATACGCAGAAACAAAGTTTCCTATCATAACTATGCAGACGACACTCAGATCTATGTCTCACTGACTGCAGGAGAACATGGACCAGTGGACTCACTCCTTCACTGTATCCAACAGATCAGTGAGTGGATGCAAAATAACTTCCTTCAGCTAAACACAGACAAAACTGAAATGATTGTCTTTGGTCCCCAGAAACAAAGAGAGAGCGTCATCTGTCACCTACAGTCTCTCTCCCTAAAACCTTCAAACAAGGTCAGAAATCTAGGGGTAATACTGGACCCAGACTTAAATTTTAATAGCCACATCAAATCAGTAACATCAGCAGCTTTTTACCATCTAAAAAACATTGCCAGGATCAAAAACATAGTGTCTAAAGCAGACCTGGAGATTCTTATCCATGCATTTGTCTCCAGTAGGTTAGACTACTGCAATGGCCTGCTCATAGGTCTGTCCAAACAGGCTGTAAAACAGCTGCAGTACATTCAAAATGCAGCAGCTCGAGTCCTGACTAGAACCAGGAAGTACGACCACATTAGTCCAGTGCTCAGGTCTCTGCACTGGCTTCCTGTGGCTCAGAGAATAGACTTTAAAACAGCTCTGCTTGTGTACAAGTCTCTACATGGCCTCGCACCAAAATATATTAGTGACATGTTAGTCCCATATGAACCAGCCCGGACTCTGAGGAGCACAGGGACTGGACTCCTGTTAGTGCCCAGAGTCAGAACTAAACATGGGGAGGCTGCTTTTCAGATTCATGCTGCTAAAATCTGGAACAGTCTTCCTGAAGATGTGAGACAGGCCTCCTCTCTGACAATGTTTAAAACCAGGTTAAAGACAGTTCTGTTTAGCTGTGCATACAACTGAGGGATTTTATATTTGTATCTTTCTTTTTAATGTTCTGTGATAATTTATGATTTTAATGCTTTCTTGTTTTGTTCAGCACTTTGAATTGCCTGGTGTATGAATTGTGCTATATAAATAAACGTGCCTTGCCTTGCCTTATATAGCACTTTATATAAGAACAAACTGTCTTCACCTCGTCGTTGTCCTCTGGGAGGGGCAGTGGAGGTGGGGGGTGGCGCTTGGGGGTTCTCACTGGACGCTGAGGCTTCTTCAGAGGCCTCTCAGGTCGACTGGGACAGCTGCCTGTGAGGAAGAGGAAGTGAGGAAGAGGAAGTGAGGAAGGGGACAGCACCACAGAGCAGACTATGAGTCGTGTTACTGTAGCTGTAAAAGTAATCCAGCTCTGAGGAGATTAGAAAGATACATTCCACCCTCTCTCTATGACTTTACTCTCTCTGCATCTCTCTCCCTCTTTGTCTCTCTCTCTCTCTGTCTATCTATCTATTTACAGTGCCTTGCGAAAGTATTTGGCCCCCTTGAACCTTTCAACATTTTGCCACATTTCAGGCTTCAAACATAAAGATATAACATTTTAATTTTTTGTCATGAATCAACAACAAGTGGGACACAATCGTGAAGTGGAACAAAATTTATTGGATAATTCAAACTTTTTTAACAAATAAAAAACTGAAAAGTGGGGCAATATTATTCGCCCCCTTTACTTTCAGTGCAGCAAACTCACTCCTGAAGTTCAGTGAGGATCTTTGAATGATCCAATGTTGTCCTAAATGACTGATGATGATAAATAGAATGCACCTGTGTGTAATCAAGTCTCCGTATAAATGCACCTGCTCTTTGATAGTCTCAGGGTTCTGTTTAAAGCGCAGAGAGAACCATGAAGACAAAAGAACACACCAGGCAGGTCCGAGATACTGTTGTGGAGAAGTTTAAAGCCGGATTTGGATACAAAAAGATTTCCCAAGCTTTAAACATCTCAAGGAGCACTGTGCAAGCAATTATATTGAAATGGAAAGAGTATCAGACCACTGCAAATCTACCAAGACCCGGCCGTCCCTCCAAACTTTCATCTCAAACAAGGAGAAGACTGATCAGAGATGCAGCCAAGAGGCCCATGATCGCTCTGGATGAACTGCAGATAACTACAGCTAAGGTGGGAGAATCTGTCCATAGGACAACAATCAGTCGTGCACTGCACAAATCTGGCCTTTATGGAAGAGTGGCAAGAAGAAAGCCATTTCCCAAAGATATCCATAAAAAGTCTCGTTTAAAGTTTGCCACAAGCCACCTGGGAGACTCACCAAACATGTGGAAGAAGGTGCTCTGGTCAGATGAAACCAAAATCCAACTTTTTGGCCACAATGCAAAACGATATGTTTGGCGTAAAAGCAACACAGCTCATCACCCTGAACACACCATCCCCACTGTCAAACATGGTGGTGGCAGCATCATGCTTTGGGCCTGCTTTTCTTCAGCAGGGACAGGGAAGATGGCTAAAATTGATGGGAAGATGGATGGAGCCAAATACAGGACCATTCTGGAAGAAAACCTGTTGGAGTCTGCAAAAGACCTGAGACTGGGACGGAGATTTATCTTCCAACAGGACAATGATCCAAAACATAAAGCCAAATCTACAATGGAATGGTTCACAAATAGACGTATCCAGGTGTTAGAATGGCCAAGTCAAAGTCCAGACCTGAATCCAATCGAGAATCTATGGAAAGAGCTGAAGACTGCTGTTCACAAACGCTCTGCATCCAACCTCACTGAGCTCGAGCTGTTTTGCAAGGAAGAATGGGCAAGAATTCCAGTCTCTCGATGTGCAAAACTGATAGAGACATACCCCAAGCAACTTGCAGCTGTAATTGCAGCAAAAGGTGGTGCTACAAAGTGTAAGCGCAAGGGGGCCGAATAATATTGCACGCCCCACTTTTCAGTTTTTTATTTGTTAAAAAAGTTTAAATTATCCAATAAATTTTGTTCCACTTCACGATTGTGTCCCACTTGTTGTTGATTCTTGACAAAAAAAAAATTATTTATATCTTTATGTTTGAAGCCTGAAATGTGGCGAAATGTTGAAAGGTTCAAGGGGGCTTGTATATATCTATTTTCTATCTCCAATGGATTAAGGGGAAGAAAATGGATGGATGGATATTATTGTTATTCTATATCTACTGTATCTATCTCTTCATCTGTCTGTCTCTCTAGTTCTATTTCTATCTATCTAGATTCCCAGAGTGCACTTGTGTAGCATTTGTTGTGTGCGCTCTCCTGTGCTAGACAAAATCCAATTGGGGCACCAAAGCTTACTATCATTTCTACATCGATAGTAGAAACGCCTGGAAGCTCGACAAACCCGTCCCCTATCCCGAGACACTGACCGAGGTACTCCCCCCTCGACACGGGTCCAGAGCTGAGGATGTGGTGGTGGTGGGACGGCGGCGGCTCGTAGCTGTCGTCGTGGTCCTCCCGTGGGTCTGCGTACATCTCATTATCCTGGAATCACACAAAAACAGCAAAAAACGTGAAGTTTATTTGAGTCGATTCTGCCTTAACCCTTTAACTTTCACTCCTTGAATTTCTTTTATTGCTTTTCCAAGATGCAGGAGAACTGAGAACATACATATTTAGTTTTTATGTTTTTTCTTCTGGGCGTCTGTGCTTAGACTGCTGCCCCCACGACCCGGCAACGGATGAAGCAGAAGAAATGGATGGATGGTGGTTTTTTTCTTTCTGAACCCCTAGTTTTTCAATTATAGGCTTTTACCAAATGGTTCAGATGCAGCTTGATGGTAAAAGTGCCTTAAAGCAAGTGATTAGAGGAAAATGCGGATCCACCAAACGGTTTAGCAAAACATTAAAGGGTTACAACTAGATTTACCAACGGGACACTGAGTAAATTGATCTAGTTTGAAAAAGATGCTAGAAATTTCTCCCTTGGATACTTTTTTGCAGTGTACTTTATATAGAAGAGGTTCGCAAACTACTGTATTTAAAATCCTAAAACCGTCTCATGTCATCATCGGTCCGTCCTTACCCGACTGTGTCAACCCAAGATCATAAATGTGACCCTGTTTTATAAGGTTCATTATTTATTCTTTTCAACGTCACAAAACTGTCGACTCGCCAAAGACGGAGCAAAGAATCAAATTGTTCAAACACAGGACTTGGTCTTTCTCTGGTCTCTGTCTAGTCTTTTTCTGGTTTCCCTCTGGTCTCTCTCTGGCCTCTCTCTGGTCTCTCTCTGGTCTCCCTCTGGTCTCTCCCTGGTTTCTCTCTGGTCTCTCTCTGGCCTCTCTCTGGTTTCTCTCTGGTCTCTCTCTGGTCCCTCTCTGGTCTCTCTCTGGTTTCTCTCTGGTTCTGGGCCTCTCTCTCTGGTCTCTCTCTGGTTCTCTCTCTGGTCTCTCTCTGGTCTCTCTCTGGTCTCTCTCTGGTCTCTCTCTGGTCTCTCTCTGGTCTCTGTCTAGTCTTTCTCTGGTTTCTCTCTGGTCCCTCTCTGGTCCCTCTCTGGTTTCTCTCTGGTCTCTCTCTGGCCTCTCTCTGGCCTCTCTCTGGTCTCTCTCTGGTTCTTCTCTGGTCTCTCTCTGGTTCTTCTCTGGTCTCTCTCTGGTCTCTCTCTGGTCTCTCTCTGGTTCTCTCTCTGGTCTCTCTCTGGTCTCTCTCTGGTCTCTCTCTGGTTCTTCTCTGGTCTCTCTCTGGTCTCTCTCTGGTCTCTCTCTGGTCTCTCTCTGGTCTCTCTCTGGTCTCTCTCTGGTCTCTCTCTGGTTCTTCTCTGGTCTCTTAATGTGAGTCTTTTCTGACATGTCTTATTTTCCATGGCTCAGTTTCTGTTCCTAGAAACTGGAGAATGTAAATTTCAAACCTCAGAATAATTTAACAATGTGATAAAAACCTAATTTAACTCGTTACTCGTTACGTCTTTCTCTATAAAAACCAATAGTCCTCATTTCATGGCTTTAGTATCACAACAAAACTGTTGAACTAGTTCAAAATCATATTTGTCAAACTAATTTCATACATTCCTTTATCCTTTTTTTTCCTGTAAATCGTTCCTAAATTGAGCAGTTCCTCTCACTCATGAGGAGGTGTGTTTTTTATTGTTTACATTTGTCACAGTTTTACCATAATAATATTCTGTATGTTTGTACTATGTACAGTACGTATATGTGACTGTATTTTTGTTGCACAATTCTGTAGAATTGCAAAGAGCAGCAAATATGTGAAATACACACAGTACACACAGTACACACATACATACAGTACATATACAAACATACAGTACACACATACATACAGTACATATACAAACATACAGTACACACATACATACAGTACATATACATACATATATACATACAGTACACACAGTACACACAGTAAACACATACATACAGTACACACATACATACAGTACATATACATACATATATACATACAGTACACACATACATACAGTACACACATACATACAGTACATATATACATACAGTACACACATACATATATAGATACACACATACATACAGTACACACATACATACAGTACATATACATACATATATACATACAGTACACACATACATATATAGATACACACATACATACAGTACATATACATACATATATACATACAGTACACACATACATACAGTACACACATACATATATAGATACACACATACATACAGTACAATACATACATATATACATACAGTACACACATACATATATAGATACACACATACATAAAGTACATATACATACATATATACATACAGTACACACATACATACAGTACACACATACATATATAGATACACACATACATACAGTACACACATACATACAGTACATATACATAGATACACACATACAGTACACACATACATACATAGATACACACATACATCCATATATACATATAGTACACACATACATACAGTACATATACATATACATACATATATACATACAGTACACACATACATATATAGATACACACATACATACAGTACATATATGTCAGCTACCTCTCTAAATACAGTCTTTGTGTAACTTTACAAGGAGATGGCCACAGTTACAGTTATATCACTATAACCTTCAGCTTCTATAAGACCAGGGATGTCAAACTGATCCTCAAAGGGTGAGGCTCCAGGTTTTCATTCCAACTAAGCAGGAGCACACCAGACTCCGCCCATTTCCTCTTGTGAGTCCAGTCTTAACCTGGAGACCTGAGGAAATGGGTGGAGTCTGGTGTGACCCGGAACCAGAGCCCCACAATTCTACACACCGTCCCTTTAAGAAATCTGTGTTCATAAAAAAGTAAATGTAAAGGTGCACTTTATTAATCTCCGTAGGAAAATTCATCCTCTGCATTTGACCCATCCTGATGACACTAACGTCAGGAGCAGTGGTCGCCGTGGTAACAGCGCCAGGGAACCCATCTCCAGATGTTGATGCTGGGCTTGGGCAGGACCTAGTGTGCATGTTTTTAGTGGTAGGGGAAACCAACGCAAGCACGGGGAGAACATGCAAACTCCACACAGAAAGACCCAATTCCGACCCAAATTTTTTTCTTTTTTTTTTTCTTAAAGTGTAAAATATAGAATCAATGTGCGGCAATGTGAGAGCTGCGGTTTGGACTCACGTAGTCGGGGTCAGAACTGTCGCTGTCCTCTCGGTCTTCTCCTGAAACTCAAGGAAAGGCAGATTTATTTGTATTGCACAGTTCATACACAAGGCAACGCAAAACAGTATCACACAAAGCATTCAAATGTGCGATTGTTTTGTTTTTTAGGATTTTAATCAGTGATGAAAACAGGAGCAGTCGTGTGAGTCTCTTTTAAACTAAACTAAACTAAACATGATCATTTAGATATTATTTATGATCAAAACAGTGCCATTTAAGCTGAGATTGTGCTGAACATGTCTGGTCTGTACAGTTATTATCCCACAGTGAGGAAGTTACAAATCTATTATTCTGACTTTTGTGAATTTACGAAACTTGGGGAAATTATACTATTTTTTCAAGCTCTGAGGAGATTATTTAAAGGACACAGCTCCATCTCTCAATGACTTAGAATTATATATTTATCTGTCTCTGTCTCTCTCTGTGTCTCTCTCCGTCTATGTCTCTGTCTCTCTCTGTCTCTCTCCCTCTTTGTCTCTGTCTCTCTCTCTCTGTCTCTCTCCCTCTATGTCTCTGTCTCTCTCTCTGTCTCTCTCCCTCTATGTCTCTGTCTCTCTCTCTGTCTCTCTCTCTGTCTCTCTCCCTCTATGTCTCTGTCTCTCTCTCTGTCTCTCTCTCTGTCTCTCTCCCTCTATGTCTCTGTCTCTCTCTATGTCTCTCTCCCTCTATGTCTCTGTCTCTCTCTGTCTCTCTCCCTCTTTGTCTCTGTCTCTCTCTCTGTCTCTCTCCCTCTATGTCTCTGTCTCTCTCTCTGTCTCTCTCCCTCTATGTCTCTGTCTCTCTCTCTGTCTCTCTCTCTGTCTCTCTCCCTCTATGTCTCTGTCTCTCTCTCTGTCTCTCTCTCTGTCTCTCTCCCTCTATGTCTCTGTCTCTCTCTATGTCTCTCTCCCTCTATGTCTCTGTCTCTCTCTGTCTCTCTCCCTCTATGTCTCTGTCTCTCTCTGTCTCTCTCCCTCTATGTCTCTGTCTCTCTCTCTGTCTCTCTCCCTCTATGTCTCTGTCTCTCTCTCTGTCTCTCTCCCTCTATGTCTCTCTCTCTCTCTGTCTCTCTCCCTCTATGTCTTTGTCTCTCTCTCTCTGTCTCTCTCCCTCTATGTCTTTGTCTTTCTCTCTCTGTCTCTCTCCCTCTATGTCTTTGTCTCTCTCTCTGTCTATCTCTCTCTGTCCGTCTCTCTCTGTCTCTCTCCCTCTCTCTCCCTCTCTGTATCTCTGAACTAAACTTATTGAACTAAACATCATATTTCAGATATTTTACACCAAATCAGTGCAATTCAAGCTG